TGAGGCTGCTCCAATTTTGTCACTTGTGAAAGAACGAGAAGATGACAGGGCAGAGCCTGGACATGGCCAGGGTGCGGGCTGAGTGTGAGAGGGGAAGCGCCTATGCTAGGTGCTAGCTGAGAGCAGAAGGGCATTTCTTGGCATGAAAAGCATTGGCACGAGGCTCTCTTTGGGGTAGGGGATTCCTTTGTCCCTGTGATGGTTTGATGTAAAGGGGTTCTGGTGGCAGGAGAGGGGATTTGCTTCCTGTGACTTCCCTGGTTTTAGAACCAGGTCAGAACTGGTTCTGGCCACCAGATCGGACTCCCATCCCCCTGGGGGTTGAGCCTATTGGTGCCTCTGCGAATTGCCCTATTTAAGTTGGGACAAAGGAATGGGAAAAGGTGCTTTGCCCAGGATTGAGGAGAGAAGGGAGGAGGGCACTGCCCCCGCTCCCCAGCTCCCGGCTGGGGGGTGCCCGGCTGAGGATGGCGGCGGTGGAGCCGCTTGGGGAACTCGGGTAGCGCCCCATTCCCAGGGTGCCCGCTGGGCCGAGTTCACCCAGAGAGGACTGAGATCTGAGAGAAACGGCCACACCAACACCAGGTCAGTGAAGATGGAACAGGACGAGGTGTGCCAGAGCTGAGTTCCCCCTGCAACCGGTGGTGAGATGGCAGCGGCCCCCTGCAGCCAGGACAGACTCGGTGGAGCAGAGACCCACTCACAGCCCGTGGAGAAGCCCACGTCGGAGAAGAGATGCCTGAGCCTGAGAGAGGTCATGAAGCGTGGGACGTGCGACAAGGTGGAGAGGCATCTGGAGTCCGTATGACAACCCACGCCGGAGCGAGTGGCAACAGCTCCCTAAGAATCCGAGACTGTGGTAAAGCCCGCACTGGAGCAATCCAATGGGGAAGGATTGCATCCTGCAAGTAGGACTCACTCTGGAGAAGTCCGTGGATTTTTCCTTGTGAGTAGGGGATCCACTGGAGCAAGGGAAAATGGTGTAAGGACTCCTCCTCCTTTAAGAAAGGAGCGGCAGTAACAACATGGGATGAACTGACCTGCACTCCCCATTCCCTGTCCCCCTGCACCGCTGGGGGAGAAGGTAGAGCCAGGAAGAAAAGGAAAGCGGGGGGAGGTGTTGTTTTTAAGATCTGGCTTTGTTTCTTTTTATCCTCTTAAGTAACTGGTTTTGTTTGTCCCTGTCCTTTTAAGTAACTCTTAATAAATTGCTTTGCTTTAAGAAAGCCGAGTCTGTTTTACCCGGGACCATGGTTGGTGGGTGCTCCTTCTCTGTTCTTGTCTCGACCCTCAGTTGTTTTATTATATTTTTCTCCTCTCCATTTCACTGGAGAAGGAGTGAGAGAGCGGCTGTGTGGAGTTTAGTTGCTGGGTCGGCCTAAACCACGACAATCCCACAGGATCTGAAGTCTTGAACACCAGTAGGACTCTCACCTAATATACATCCTTGGGGGCCAAGCGGGGACGTCACAGGTTCTGCTATTAAACAAGCAAAACCAAACACAGTTTTTGATTCTGCTTGTTTAATAGGACTCAATGCCGCTTCTGCATTTTATAACACTTAAAGAAGTGAAGGCACCGTTACCTGTGGCTACATGATTTCATGTAAACACGTTAAGTGCCGTTCATTTTGTATTTATTACATTGCCAGTGGATCCCACTTAAGGACAATGTGTGCTCTGTGGCTGCATGTGCCTGGCATGCAGGTTTGGAGTAAATGCCCCACCTCTTTCTCTGTAATTTACTCTTCTGGACTTCGGGGGCATGGTTGAAATGGCAGACGCTTGTTCCTCAAGTTTGAAAAAACATGTTTGAATATACTGTCATTTTCCCTGATAAGATGAGCACTATAAATTAAACAGAGTCAGCAACCCAGGCACATTAATCTTCCTGATGCAATCCTACCTTTAGCATTTCCTGACATATATTTGATGTTGACTTAATTGTGCAGCCTTAGAGTAGGACTTGAGTATATAAGTGCAAAAGCAGCAAGAAACTGCAGATGCAAGCTAGAAGCTGTCCGCTGAAAACCGAGCGAGGGGTGGATGACGCGTGGATCCTTGCAGCAAGGAGATTGGGATGACAAGTTTATTGTAGTGCTTTTTCACCAGCCATCTAGTCAGCCCTCAAAATCAGGCTTCACACAGGAGATCCTGTAAGACTTGAGCATATAGTGTCATGCCGAGGTTGTCCCTTTCTGCTTTCCCTCGCACACGAGCAATCTGACATCAGCACGAGCAGCACATGGTTCATGGTGCTCGTGTGGTGCGTCCTCTTAATGCAGCACGCAGCTACAGAGATCTCGCTTGGAAAGGCAGGTTTTGCAGCTAAGCTTTTAGAAGGAAGTTGGGAGAAGTCTTGGTTCTCTTCTCACTTTTACTGAAGGAGGTCAGAAAAGTAATTTCGGAACTTTGGGTTTTGGAGGATGTCAAAAGATGCAACTAAATGCCTAATGGGCTCTGAAATGGTCTTTGAAATCAGTGGGAGATAGGTCTCTGAGATTTCAGAAGTCCCACACAAAGTGTTTGCATGCATATTAAAGCATCTAAACACCTTTAAAAATACGTCTCTTAAGTGCCTAACTCTGAGCATAGGTTCCTACATCCCCTAGGCAGTTTCGAAATTGCATCCAAGCTGCTTAGATTTCCCCTAAAGAGCACCCTTTTGTTTTAATTTTCTCGTTGACTTAATTTTCTCTTGACTTGAGACATAATATATATTAACCCACACTCATTTTTTTGTAGCAAAATGTAGAGAAGTGAAGCTGTTTCTGAGCTGTTTTATTACAAAAAAAGGAGCATATGGCTGATTGTGTCCCATCTGAAATGCAAATGGTGGAGCTACGTGGAAAGAATTACTATTACTTGAGCAGTAAATGTTTCCTAATGAAGTGAGTTTGACTAAGGTGGGAAGCTGGAAACGGCTGTGGGAAGAAATGACGACGGTTAATATTTCGGTGGAGCAGAACATTCTTATTCCGCTGATAAGGAGGTTCTTAGGAAATGGTCTGGGGTTTTTTTCATCTATTCTGCATGTTCATCAGTGTGGGGAAATTGTTACACAGGGAGCCAGACTCTTTTCTTCCACTAGTTATGAAATCACGTAATTTAATTTATAACCACAGGTTTTCACCGTTGGCCTCTTTTTGAGCTGACGTTTTCTGTATTGTGGGAACATTTGGGGAAAATAGACCGACCCAATGTAAAGAAAGTCTAAAAGACGATGAGTACTGGTTCTACTGATTTTCATCACCCTGGGCACGTTTGCAGAGGCCAGAGGCCGATGGGGGTGATGGAGAAATCTGACCCATGCTGTCTAATTTCCTATGCTTCCTCTTTCCACCAAAGTTTTTCACTTGCATATATATCTCCACACTTTCAATGGTCAAAAGTATCCAGATGCCTGCTGCGAATGGGAGGTGAACTGACTTTTAAACACTTTCTTGAATCAAGCAGTGAGGCTAGAGGCTGACATTTCCATTACTTAACTTTCCAAAGGGAGAGCTGTGGAGTCGGCGTTGTGAGGTTCGGCGCGACCAGTGGGCTGGAGATAGAGCATCGGTCGCACTACTTTGCCTTAAATGTCAGAAGGAGCCGGGAAGAGTTTAGATAGCAGCCTGTGCACAATTATGTGCTCAGAAGAGCTGAAGCAGCTGCCAGCTTAGACCTCTGGCTTTGTCCCCAAGCAGGATCACATCGGTGTTAACGCAAGTGTTGCTGAGGCTGAGCTGTCTGTTACGTGGCACAGTCGGGGACAGAAGGTTAGCGTGCCTTTCCCTTGCCGGTGCCTAAGGGTGTCTGACAGCACTAATGATAATGAAATAGGAGAAACCTAAAGAAAAAAGGCTGCAGCCTGCTGCTGGTGAAAGTAATTAGGCTTCTCCATCTTCTGAGCAATGGCGAGGTGTCGTGGTTTAACCCTAGCACAAATCCAAGACATAGCCTCATACTAGCTACTGTGAAGAAAAATAACTCTATCCCAGCCAAAACCAGCACACGAGGCTTGCTGGGGTCAGAATGTCTCCACGTCAGTGTGTTAGTTTAGATCTGGACCAGGCTCTTGAAGGGAATCCACCGCTGTGCTTTTGGTTCATGTCTCGCAGCAGCCCAGGAGCTCACGAGCTGGGTCATTGTGGCTCTGGAGATGCCCCCGAGCTCCCCAAGGACAGGGCCACTACTGCCCTGCCTGCACTTGCCCATGCTCCACTCTTGGCCGCAGAATCCTTCGCCCTGCACAGAGCACATCACCAGGTTGGGAGCAGGGTGACACCTGAGTAAGACTTTTTGGTTCCCGAGATATTCAGATGCTTCAGAAAGTGCTTGTGCGCAAAATCTCTGCTAAAAACAGCATTCCTCTGATTTTAATACTGAAGTAGACCCACCATGTCCGGGAGCCAGGGAAGATCTCACCACCCCTAAACACGGAGCAGAGTACAGTCGCGTTGCTAATGTCAGTCTTGGTCTTGACAGCTGGTTTTGTCCCAGCAGAGTGAGACGAGGCTTCAGTATCACACCTTTTATTACCATCAGAGTGCCTATAGGTGCTTTAATTATTATCAGAATTAAATCATAAATCAATGTAAAACCACATTTATACAGTGTTAAATAGGATGGACAGCACCTCAACAGGTGAATTTTGTGGCTTCTTTAATTGTGAGAGGGCGCAGCAGCTTGAATGATTGGCGTATCTGCTCGGGTGCTCTTTGGTTTACAAGAAATTACAAGCGATAATGCTGTGGCATAGTTTTCTCGTGTATAGCACTCTTTTTTATCTTTCCCTTTTGCTTGCTTTTCTTTTCTGTGTCTCTTCCCTCTCCCCGCATTTCATTTCCATCCAGAAATACAAATGACCTCTTGACAGAACTTTCCACTTTCATTCTGTTGATTTGCATTGTGCAGTCAAGAAAATACAAACGCTTTTATTTCTGAGATGTATTTATGATGTCATGAAAAACTTTCTCATATTAGCCTCTCCTTTTTTCTCTTTCTTTATCTTTTCAGGTGTGTGTGCAACATTGACTGTTCTCAAACCAACTTCAATCCTCTTTGTGCTTCCGATGGGAAATCTTATGATAATGCATGTCAAATCAAAGAGGCATCATGCCAGAAACAGGAGAAAATTGAAGTCATGTCTTTGGGTCGATGTCAAGGTAACTCTCATAACAAAACTCATTTCAAAGAATGTTTTCAATTTTTGTTCAGGGAAAAAAAAAAAAAGAACTGGAGCTGGCTTCTTATTTGGCACTTCGTACATTTCCATTAGACTCTTGCGATTTATATTGTAGAGCTCAGGCTGCGGGAAGGGGCAGAGCCCTCCGTGGTACAGATGCCAAGCGAGGCGTGAGGAGTGGTGCCTGTAACCATTCCCACGCCCTGCCTGCAGTGGCAGGGAACTGTCCAGCCCTGCTCTGGTGTCAAAATCAGGCACCTGGATTTTGCCCAGACCTCTACCCTCTGGGTAGGAGTTAGAGCAGGACAGCAGGAGAGCCCCTCAGATACATTTTGCCACCCAGGATGGATTCTCTGTTGCTCCCTTAACTGGGGCAGCACGAAACAATCTCAAGAGGCCGAAGATGTGCTCCCAGATGTGGTGCTGGTTCTTGTTTCTCATCTGACCTGCGCTGGCCCATGAGATGACAAAGATGCCTGGAAAGAAATTTTGCCAAGAGGAGCTCAAGTGTTTCTCCATGAATGGCATGCTTCTCTGTGCCCAGCTCATGGGCTACTACATCACCTGTAACCCTTGAGTTGACTTTAAAAACTCTATTTTGTTCTAAAATAAAAACGAAGAAAATTTGCCTTTAAATAGCTCCCGTAAATAAAGTGTCTGTTGAGGCTCAGACTCTTAATAGCTTTTTTCCCTTTAGCTTCTGACCTATAAATCCTCAATATATCTACTTACAAGGCCATACCATACAGGTATATTAAACACATTCTAGTTTATTCCTATCTCTTTGAAGTTAACCACTCTATGTGGCAATTCATTTCAGGGTACATATTAAAACTCCCCAATTACTTCAAATAGAGCAGAAATGACAACTCCTGCTTCATACTGATATATTTAACCCAGCTGCAATCTGTTATCACATATTGTTAGAAAAAAATGTGTTTTCTTAATGGAAGATGTTTCATGTTTCATTCCAAAAAGCCAGATCCTGCTGTTTTCACCTGGCAGGCCCAAGGGAGCCTTGCAGCCAGCAGCGATGCTGTGCATGCAAGCAAAGCTGCATTTGCCTGGGCACTGGTGGCGGGGACATAGTCTGTATCAAGTACAGTCTCCCCAGGCAATTCAACATATTTCTTTTCACACAGATAATACTACAACAACTACAAAATCGGAAGATGGGCATTACGCAAGAACCGATTATGCAGGTACGGTTCCTATTCTGTGAGAATCACAATTCGCAGGAACTGTGTGAGTCTCTTTTCTCCTCTGTTTGCTAAGGTGCAGTGTCCTCATCTTCTAGTATGGTTTTCTTGCTTTACTTCAAGAAAATGCTGTCTTCACATTACTCTTTCTTTTGCTAGAAACTTTCTTCTTCATAAAAGGGCTTCTTCCATTTTTGCCAACGTACAGGTATTCTAGCCATAAAACACCTGTTCTGACAGTGGAAACAAGTATTGTAAACTATTTGCTGGAATTAGCAGGCGTTACTGAAAATTATTGAATCAGTGCACTGGGTTATGTGTATTTTTGTCACAATATACAGGTTTAAGAAAGTGAAAATCCAGAGCATAGCACAGCTGTGATACCATGAAATGTTGCCATAATAGATAATATTACCTGTTGATGTTTAACTATGACGGTAATAAGGTTCTTAAAATGTTTTTTTTTAAGTGATAAATGGTTTTAATTTATTTAGAAGCTACAATAAAATATAATGGCTGAATAGCCTTATATGGTGTTTGAAATTAAAAACATGTAAATACTGGCGAGGTTCAGGAGACATTTTTTACACCCTTTGCCTGGGAGGATTGATTTAGAAATTGAATGTGTGTGTGCGTGCACTCGTGCATGCAAATATTCACAGCTCGCACTGAGAATTCAAGCCTTTGGGAAGGTAGTGTGAAAATGGGTCAGGTGATGCATTCATTGCTCAAGTTTGTGATATTTTTGTGTTTTGAAAGTGTTTACAGAGAGTAGGTGCAGATCTCTGTGTTCACCTGAGCACCTTGCTGCATGGCTTAGGTGAAATCCAGCTGATGGTTTCACAGGTCTTAACGTTTCTCACCAGGAGAGTCCTATGACAGGGCTTCATTCAGCTGGTCATCTCTTGTGAGGGGCCTTTGTGCACGACGTCCCTGCATTAATAGGGTACCCAGCCATTAGAAAGGATCATTCTGTTCCTGCTTAAAAATGGTGCGTGGTGATTAAAACATAGAGCTATGAATAAATGATGTCTCGAGGAGGCAGAGGAGTGCTTGTTGTTGGGGGTGGCTTCAGCACGAAGCAGAGAGGGTAGAAATCTCTATGGAAAGTAAATGTTGGGATTAATTTCCAAAAGATCAAAGATGAGCCGTGGTCCAGGCATTTCCTACTGCCAAGGAACCTTTCCACGGGTGAAGAGAGAGTCATGCAAAGGAGAAAAGTCTTCAGTCTCTTTCCCCTAAACCCTTGATTACTCTCAGCTTTTTTCTGGGAGGCAACAGTCACTTTTCTTAAAAGGCTGGAAGGGCTGAGGTTGTATCCTGTGGTGGGCAGGAGATACAGCAAAGTAGGCCAAAATGGTTTATTTTAAGTTCAAAACATGGGCAAGCAATATTGTTGTGTAAAATCCTTTATCTTCCTTGCTGGAGAACTGAGAAGAGCATTGGCATCCCCAAGTCAAGATGAAGACCTGCAACCCCTTTTTAAATGTTGTGCAACCTGTGCTACTCTGCTACTGCCTGGTGGCTTAGCTTTAGGATGGCAGTGACCCACATCACCTAGAAAGGAGACAGCACATTTAAGCATGAAGCAACTGAGTTGTAACAAGAAGGGAGGAAAGGCAGATTGAGGATTAGGGAGGAGGAGGAAATCACAGCGATGACAAGAGAAAGCCAAGTCACGGGTCATGAAGGAAGAGGCGCACAGAAGGCACCTTCAGCTCAAGTGGGCAGGAGGAAGAGAACAGCTCTTGCTTAGGAGAGAGATGATATTTCAGCCCACGCTTGAGGAGAGGTGGTGGGTAGAAGAAAATTGATTGCAGCAAAATGTTGTGAGAGGTTGGGAGTCGAGCAGGGAACACAGGAGGAAACTGGGTTACTGGGCAGGAAAGAGGGCAGAGCTACGGCAATGAGGAGCAGGTCGGTAGTGGAGATGGTCTCTGAGTGCTGAGAAGTCAGAAGGAGTTGGGAAAAAGATGGTTCAGCGAGAGGTGATGAGGGCCTGTGGAAAGGAGACAGGGCACCTCACTCCACTGGAGTCATGGGAGGGGTGGAGACATCCTGAATCAGCAGTGAGGTCCAGTAGGTACCTCTTTGGCACAGAAAGACACCGTCATTGTGCCGTAGCAAGCAGCTCCTTAAGGCTTGTTGTGTGGCTAAGGCCCTAATGGACTTCCTGAGGGCAGTGACTGTGTCCCCCGAGTGGGGCTTACCGGGTACCATCCATTGATTTAACCTGAACTACAGTCACTTGCACAAGCCGATGTCTTCTTTTTGTGCACCTAACTATTACTCTTGCTTAAATTCTTTATGTTTAGATACGGTGACAGCATATGGGGTGAAAGTTGCAAATTCATGCAGGGCAATCCGCATCCTTCCAGTGTCCCTAGATGTTTGTGGCATTAGCATGCCAAGAAACCCTAGGAGAAAGGGACCACTGTATGAAAAAGCTGTAACAACTCCAGCCTTTTGGAAACAGTTGGTGAAATGGAAGACAGCGGTATAACAGGCTCGGTGAACACTCAGGCATCAGCGTTTGCCAGGCAGGAAGCTCCATGCCGTTCTCATGTTCTCTCAAGTGCAGAAACATTTGATGATGGCTGTTATAGGAATGTGGTATGTGTTACTTTTTTCCCACCTTCGTATCTCCTCAGAAGGGAAATGCTGCCCTGACCACGGGGAGCTTTGTGTGAAAAAGCAGCAGTTCCTCGGCTGTTGTGCCTCTGAAGCAATTTCCTTGAGCCTGCGCCTTTCCGGAGAATACTTTTGTTCTCTACCATTTAATGGCACTAAAAATCACCGAGACTGTGAGCACTACACGCTTTTAAAAACACTGACTCATATGGACTGACTTTCCCAGGGGAGAAAATAGCAGTGGGCATAACTGATGTTGTCAATTATGCTAATGCAGCAGTGCCAAATGCTCTTTGTGGAGATTGTGGTAACTGAGTGGTGCGGGTTTTTCCATGAACGCCCCTGCACGCTCAATGTGGGGTCCCAGGAAGGCAGCAGCTTTGCGAACAACCACGAGTCCCAACGCTCAGCTGATTTTTTTCACATTGAACTATTCAAACTGGCCGCTCAGTCAGTGTCTTTGCTCCCTCTTGTTCTTTAAAGTCCATTGATCATTGCAAATAACGCACAAATCTTTCAGTTTGCAAAACCGAGAGTGCTCGTTGCTTTGGAGCATCTTTGCACTAAGTTTACATCGCCTTGTGTTTTCGGGGCCTTTTACTTTACATAAGCAAGATTTACCCTAGTATTGGAAATGCCTGACTAATGTCAGAGACACCTAAAAAGCAGTGGCGCCTTTTTCAGCAAAGCCAGCGTGGGGATAGTGAGCCGTAGGTGGCCCTTCTCTGATGGTGTCCAGCTCTCAGGGTTCACCAGTCCACTCTTGCCATGGCTGTGTGTGTTCGTGACTCTCTTTGTGTGGTCCTGGCCTCTCGTTTTTCTGAAACCCCAAGGTATTTAGCAGACTTGGGGGGATTTTCATTCTTTGCAACAAATGGCGGATTGTTGACGTTGATCAAGTTTCTGAGATAAGATCTGGTTTTAGTCAATAAATGAATGCGTGGGTTTTTTCCCTCAAATCCAACAGAAATACACTTTATCTTGCAATTTCCATTAAATAGCATTTTTAAACATTTTAAGTGTAATGTATGTTTTGGAATGTAGTGTCTGAGCTGAAAGTCCTGTGATTGATGTTTTCTTGATTTTCCCCATTATATGTCTAAAGAAGTTGGCTGTTTCGGTGGTGGTTTTGCGTTCAGAGTCTAGGCAATCAAGGAGTTTTCATCTTGTTTATTCATTTGCCTATTTATTTTTATTCTTCAATATTTATATTCCCTTCTTAAGATCTGGATATTAGCAATTATTCCCCTAACTGATTTTATCTTTTCTCATCATCAAGTTACAGGGATTTTTTTTCAAGCTATTTTATGCACTATAAAGAATAAGTCAGTACGGATGAGCCATATTTCAATGTTATATATTCATGAAAATTGTCAGCGAAGACACTGACAAATTTGATAGACCTATTCAATCATATCATCTTCCTGGCCAGACAAACCTCCCCATATGAGCATTGATTAGATCAAGTCTCAGCAACTGAACGCCAGCAGCACCGCGAAGCTGATGGAAAGGGGAAGAAGACATTTTCAACCCAGATAGTCATCTTTGGTGAAAAATACACGTCCGTAAATGATCAGTTTGAGCTGTATTTTTGGGTTCCTCAACAGCAGTAAACTCTCGCTTGGCAGCAGCCTCAGGTGATGCCTTCAGCAGTCTTGGCTAGTCCAGGGTCTCTCTTGCAGGCAGTGCCATGGCCCCCCTTGCTGATGCTGTTGCTGTGCCTGGGAAACGCTCACAAGCACAAAATGCTGAGTGTCTGCTCATGACTGCTCTGTTCCCTGCTCTCCCTTCTGGTTTCCCATGGGATTTCAAATCTACGTGACAGTCTTGGATCTTTTTCAGACCACTTTCTGGCACTGGGGCCTTCCTGGCACTGCTGGAGGTGTTCGGGCAAGTAATCTGGCAGATGGCTGTGTTGCCCAAGCAAACTGAACGCTCCACCAAAAAGGGCAAAATCCATCTGTGTCAACACGTCATCTTCCCTTGGCCTGGCCAGAGCTGTGGGATGAAGGCCACAGAAGCCATCACAGATTCCTCACTCCAAGGATAAAGAAGCAGCTTAGACTCCTCAAAAGTCCAAGAGTTTTGGAGTCTAGAATAAATACAATGTAATATTTATGTCTGAGAAAAGAAAATTATCCTAAAACTTTACCAAAACTCGCCACTCTGCATCGTTAACTTCTAATCTTTTGCACAGGAGAACAAGCTGTGCCTATCAAAGAAAATGTGGAGAACTGGCAGCGGTGCGCTGACCCAGCACATGTGAGGAGCACTGGGCTGTGATGCATCCCTTTCTTCACAGGCCCGATACAGAGCCCGCCGAATTCGGTTACCGTCATCTTCATTGTCTGTAATAGGCCTGGAGAGCAGAC